ACGGATTAGATGTAAGAAAGATATATTAACAACAGGTTACAGAGATAGTGTAAGCGGAGCTTACTATATCACAATATTTATTGTTTTGTAATATATACAAACAAATGCGGCACAAGGCCAAAAAGGGGGGTGGGGAATAACGGTCTTCTTCTGTCTTAACTCTAAAACTTAGCTAGTCACAGACACTGACCCAAACATGCCAACAACAATCCAATCACCAAAACATCACATTCACTCCTACCTTCCTTACTACGTCCACCATAATACCTCAGTTTCTCTATGACGTCCTACCTAGTCCCCATATATACAAATAATGTTCATGGGGGGAGGGTCATAAAAATAACAACCTTAAAAAATCCCCAAATGAGTATTTACACAATGAATTAATTATTTACAATGAAACTAAACAAAACTGGGTTAGTAATAAAAAAACCCACAAACTATGAATGTGGCAGAAATGCCAGTTAACCAGACGAAATCGATGCGGGACTAAGAAAAAGAGTACACATTCAAACCATCAAGCATTCACACAAACACTCACTCATTCCTACACAACAACAAATACGAAAACACACACCCGAAACGAAAGGCGCCCCACATCCACCAGAAAACTGACATCACTAACCACCTAACGAGGGAGGGGGTGGGGAATTAAACAAAAGTAAAAAATAGGGACAGAAATAAAAGGGACCAATGAGCTTACATACCCTAGCTAAGTCAAACGGGAAAAAAAAGGAAAAACTAAATATTCAAAAACAAAAACCTAGTCTAACCTAATATCTGGGTGGGTTGCCTATGTTCAACCCTGTTAGGACAATATTCTGTGCCTAACCGACATCTATATGCCACTCTAGGTCAGCCCCTTTCACTCTACACATTCGCGCAAGATTCACCCACCTTTTGCCGAATTCTGATGATGGGAGCCGCCGCCTTTCCGTCCTAATCTTGACTTTAAGCTGATGCCTAAATTACAAGATCAGTTGGGAAGAGGTGAACTTCTCGCCTTCATAGAATCCCTTCTGTCGCGTCGTCCAAATCACGACTCGCATAACCCCTAGTAAGCAACAGAACACATAGTGTTCAGCCTTCGTCAATTGCGACACCACATTGCTACAAACAGAACTGGCTTCCAGGACAAAAAAACTTCCCTGCAGCATGCGAACCATGAGGCCTTCAACAAACTTGCACAACGGCACTACCGCACTGCACTGAAAAAGGCGTGACCAATGGTCTCGACATTCCCAGTACAGCGACGACAGTTTGGATATTTCTCCAAGCCTGCTGAACAAAGTCTTTTGCCGACCCAGAGGGCCCCGCGAATCATCAGCCAGGTGGTGATGCCTCATCGTTATTGAGACATTTCAACCCAGGCGCCCAAAGGCCATATCGAGCGAGCCTCCTGCTTCGTAAGACCGAGCTCGTCGATCAGATCATCTTGAACGGACCCCCTAACTAACACACGATATAATGCCTTACGAGACAACGCTTGGGCGTCGGAGAGGCCACCGACGACCGCAAGAGGAGCTTCAAAGCACGACGACATTCACGATAGAAGGAGCACTCGCCACGAGGAGTACGACCGGCCTCCTCCTCGCACGAGTGCACACTTCTCAGGGATGGGAAATGTTTACGGACATCTTCTTTCCAAAAAGGTGCCCACCTCATCCAAACCGCGACACATTCGGTCGAGAAAGGTAATGCGTAGCATATATTGACGAATCTCAATGCTAGGCATTCCCAGACCGCCCTCAGAGGGATGAAGGAAACAGATCTCGCGAGATGCCATGTGGGCCTTGCCTCTCCACAAGAAAGAGAACAAGGCCTTGACTAATGACATTAATCGGGCATACGGGAGTGGAAGCACAGAAAGACGGTAGAGGAGTATCGGATAGATGTGGGAACCACAAACTTCCGCCCTTCCCTTCAGGGAAAGTCCCTCCGAGACCACAGACTAGCCGCGGCCTCGGCCCGCCCCTGTACCTCCGACCAATTCTTTTCCAACTGGAGATCAGGACCGAACCAGACGCCGAGTATCTTGATCGGCCCATCCGTCCAGAGGAAAGGTCCGGGAAGAGAAACTCCCTTCCACGCACCCAACCGCAAGCCCACAGACTTATCGCGGTTGATTTTGGCCCCCGTCACCATCTCATTCCCACTGATCTGCTTACTGACTTCGTTAATCTCGGCTCTGCTCGACACAAGAACCGAAACGTCGTCAGCATAGGCAGAATACCTGGCCGAGGTGTTAGCACCAGGCAGCGAAATACCGCGTAGGACCGGATTCGCCTTTAACTTGCGAAGGAAAGGCTCCAACGCAAGAACGTAAAGCAGAGGCGATAGCGGACAACCTTGACGAATGGAGCGAGACAATACGAAAGGCTTCGATCTTACCCCATTCACTTCCACCAGCGCACCGGGGGTCGCATACAAGAGTCGGATCCAGGAGCGAAAGTCGGCAGAGCTTACTATATCACTCTCTAGTGTGCTATGTCGCCTACTTAATATAGGCCTGGAAGAGTCTATTGTGTAGGTAGTTTCCGGTCTCACAATATATATATATATATATATATATATAAGTGAATATTGAAGTCAACACTCAGAGGCAGCAGGCTGTTTCATGGTGGACGCAATCGTCAGGCGATTGTGTTCTGCCTGTCGCCTCTGAGTGTTGACTTCAATGTTCACTTTTATATTTATATTTACATAAGCTCTATCTCTGATATTGAGCACTTTATCTCATAAATATAGCACACCTTAAAATATATTTTTTCACATATATATATATATATATATATATATGTGTGTGTGTGTGATTTGCTTGATAGGGTTTACCAACGTTTTAATGGTTATCTAAAGTCAAACAATATATGGATTTAATGAATGTAAAACTTGTCCATTTGTTAATTACATGAATATTGTGAGCATCCCCAACTGTAAGTAGCTTTTTAAAATGATGGTAATTCCTTATTTTGAAAAACAATGAACGAATTCTTAATAACATCAATTATGAAGCCGGCCATAATGTACTGGCAGTATTTTGAGATGAAGAATATATATAATTATCTTCAGTAAATTTTATATCGTCTATAATAGTACTAACACCGCATTTTTATAGTAGCATTAAACAAATCCTTGAACATGGCTAATAATTTAGCCGAAAGCGGTCAATACCTACAATTTCTTGCACAATTTTTACATTCATTAATCCACAAAAAGGAAAAATATTATGGGTAAATGAGATTTTCATTTGTGGTTGGTTCTACGAGAAAAGGTATTTTAAACTTGGAAGGCAGACGCATGCAAAGTTTAATTTGAGCCAAAGTGAACTGGCTCTCTTTAAAGAAATGTAATCGCAACATGAATCATTTGCATCATAACTTCTTAACTTTTACCTTTTCAATATTCTTTACATACATCGCTATTTTATTTTTATTTTCCTTTCACTTACCCTTTTTTTTATTTTTTTTTATTTTATTTATTTAGTTTTTGCTCAACTCATTAATTGGATTTTCTTATGTAAATCTCTTCTTGTGTTTCTCTTCACCAACTTACTCGTCTTCCGTTTTCGATAGGTGCATCTATACGCCCCCATTTTTCTTTAACTTTCATTTCCTTTGAACTTCCGTTTCCGGCCTCTGATTTCGTCATTGTTATTTTCAATCAATTGATTTTTCATTACTATTCAACGTCTTGATACTTCTCTGCCGTCTCGCCCTTCGTTAATATTCGATTTCTTTTTCTTATAATCAATTTTCTTAAAAAGTCCCTTCTTTAACTTTTTTTTTAACTCGGCCCTTCAAATACAAATTACTTCTCGACTAACAAGAGATAACGATTTTTTTGAACCGACTTGACTCTCTCACAGATCTACTTTTTCTTTTCAAACACTCAACGTTGATCAATTATATCTTCTATCGCATTAGTAAGCAGTGAATACCAAGGAATCACCCCCACCCATCTCCACACACTCAATTCCCTGAAGAGTATGGAACCTAGAGCTTTGTGTAGACTAGGCATTACTAGTGTGGTTTCCAAAGCAAAGAGTAGATTCTTACGGGGTAGAATTGCTAGACCCATAGCTAATTGTTCCTTCTCCATGATTGTATTTCTGCTACAAATTCCTCTGCTTACGGTCAAGTAATCACTAGTGGATGTGCGTTGTGGGGTAATGGATATCGACTCGGAATGAGATCTTGGGGAACCACGTTCGAATTCCACTCAAGTTCATTAGATTCACATACGCACAAATACCCTTGGGAAATGTATGAATCCATCTCTTCTTAGGGACGACTGGGTTCTTTCGCCTTGGTTGGCCGTTAGTCTACCACAGAAAGAAATGGTAACCTACTGCGGGAAAAATCTGAGTCGTCAGTCATGTATCTCTCTCTTCTCTTGTTCTTGTAACGGCATTCACCCGAGGTGGGTTGAGCCGGCTCCAATATTGGAGTTTCATGGGAATTCGGAATTCACAAGCGGTCCCCAAACCCGCATATATAGCACATGAGATTTGATTATAGCGGTGAAGGTTTCGTACAGGAACATCTTTTTGAAGGGCCGCATGTTTTCAATTCAGAGTTTTCCTTCACCCAGACCAGTTGCCATCCAAGGCTATAGAACCCAGTCTGTCCTGCCATTTACCCATAGCTGGAGGGAGAAGAAGAGAATTCACATCTTTCCCAAGGGTATTAGCACGTAAGTGACTGTAATGGATTCGACTGAATGGAGACACGGTGGAGTAATGGACAGCGGCTTGGATTGAGGAATCGGAGAGTCATGTATCGAAGGATACATGATCGCCGTATCACGTATGGCGCTTAACTGACTGAATCACTTTTGGGTTTTTGGGACAATGTAGTTATCCTTCATACCAAATAAACATGAAATTGCACCATTATTAATTGAATACTGCACGAAACAGATTTTCATGACAAGATATAGAAACAATCATTATATTAATAATTTCTTTTCCATGTATTTTCAACACAGTCGGTTATTCAGCCATGTTATTCTTGTTTAAATGTTCTTTCCTTTCTACCTCGGCTCTAGTCAAGCCGAAGACATCGTTTCCCGTTCGATCACCAAGGTTAAAAGTCGTCTAACCCAGTCAGAACTTAGACGGGGTGGAGGCGCTTGGAAACATCGGTTACTGTAAGCAGCCTCGAACAAATGGAAATATGTTTTGGTTTTAATAACTCACAAAGGGTTGATAAGCCGTAAAAAAACAATCAACCTATTTCTTTCTTTTCTTTTACTTTCCTTCAATCTTTTTCTATAGTTCGTCTTTTTTCTTTCGAATTTTTCTTTTTCTCTTCCCCCTTTTCTTTCTTCCTTTTAACATTTGTTTTGTTTTTTTTTCTTTTTGTATTATATTCTTTTTATTCTTTGCTGCATTTCTCTTCCTCTCTTCCTCCTCTTCTTTCTTTCTTTCTTTCTTTCTTTCTTTCTTTCTTTCTCCCCACTACATAACGCATGACATTTCCGTCTATTTTTTTCATGTTTGTTTCCTTGTCTTCTTAAAGTTTTATATTCTTTGATTATTCCTTTCTTTCTTTTTTTTTCCTTCTTTATCATCCTGTCTCTGCTTCTCTTTCTTTCTATTTCTGTTTAGTCTCTCACCTTCTATTCAAGTCACATTCTATCTTTCTCTCCATTTAATTTTTTCTCTTTTTCTCTTTCCCTTTTCCCTCTTTCTTTTGCTTTCTTCTCATTATTGTTCTCTCTCTCTCTCTCTCTCTCTCTCTTTCAATTCTCTTTTTTGTTCTTTATTTTCTCTATTTTTCTCTCTTTCCGTTCTCTCACTCTCTCCCTTTTTTCTCCCTCTCTCACACTCTCTCGCACCACCTCTCATCCTCTATCTCACATAGACTCCCTCTCTCCCTCAATCTCTCCCTCTCTCTCGCTCTCGCACACATTCTCTCACACACGCACAAACACTCTCTCTCACACACACATTCTCTCTCACATACTCTCTAACATAGACTCCCTCCCTTCCTCAATCTCTCTCTCTCTCTCTCTCTCACACACATAGACACTCTCTCTACCTCTCTCTCACGCACATTTTCCCTCTCTCCCTCTCACATACCCTCTCTCCTCCCCTCTCTCATATAGACTCCCTCTCTCCCTCAATCTCTCCCTCTCTCTCGCTCTCGCACACATTCTCTCACACACACACAAACACTCTCTCTCACACATTCTCTCTCACATACTCTCTAACATAGACTTCCTCCCTTCCTCAATCTCTCCCTCTCTCTCTCTCTCTCTCTCTCACATAGACACTCTCTCTACCTCTCTCTCACGCACATTCTCCCTCTCTCCCTCTCACATACCCTCTCTCTCTCTCATATAGACTCCATCTCCCCCTCAATCTCTCCACTTCTCTCTCTCTCTCTCTCTCTCACACACATTCCCTCTCATACACACACAAACACACTCTTTCTCTCATACATACACATACTCTCATCTTACCCCCCCTACCCCCTCTCTCTCTCTCTCTCTCTCTCTCTCTCTCTCTCTCTCTCTCTCATCCTTTTTTTATTTGGTCTTTCTTGCGAACGACCCCTACTGGATCTGGAATCGTCCCCGCGGGCGATGAGGCGCAATTTGGGAGTGAAATAAAAAGGTTGGATGCATGGAGTTCTGAAGAAGAACTTTGCTTTTAAACACCTTAAAGATAATGGAGTGGGTGGTGGATTTTCGGAGAAATGCCACAGCACCTGTCCCTTTGGTTATCGACGGGGAGAAGATGGATAAAATTAATTTCCTGGGCACGTGCATTGTAGAGGATCACTCCTGGACTAGCAATACCATCGCGTCAGTCAAGAAGGCGCAGCAGCGATTCTGATTTACAAAGGTAGCTGCTGATGACCTTCTACCGCTGCTCTACTAAGAGTGTACTGGTGTACGGCATCACTGTTTATCATAGCAGCTGCTGGACAGCGGACAAGAGGAGCTCTCCAACGGATTATTGCCCAGAAAGTAACTGGCTGCTCGCTGTTCTCCTTAGAGGACATTTCTAATTTTCGTATTCGCAACAGAACAGAAAACATAATTAACAACAGCAAGCATCACTTGTTTGACTTATTACTCTCAATATGACTTTTTTGTTCTATTAGTTCTAGGACAAAAAGATTGATGAACGGCTTTTATCTTTGGGTCAGGCGTAAAATGAACGCTGCCGCAGCCTAAACATTTTCAACATATGTTAAACGTAGTAGTTTTCGTAAGTCAATGCTGTGGGTGTTTTTTTATTTATTTATTTATTTATGTTTTTTTGCGTGTGTGTGGGAGGGTGTTCTTAAGGACTGTTGTTCAATTCCAATATGTATTACACAGGGACAAGAATAAGTAAATAAATTTCCTCCTCAAATTCTCTTCTCATTATGTATTTCAATATATGTATCTAATATATTTACTTTCCTCTATGTTTATGTTTTCTTTCTTGATATGCCCGCCATCTTCTTTTTCCTTCTTTATTTTCGGTTTCTTTATCTCCCTCAATCTCTCTCTCTCGTTCTCTCTCTCTTTCTCTCTCTCTCTCTCTCTCTCTTTATCTATCTATCTATCTATCTATCACACACACACACACACACATATATATATGAAGAAATATATAGATGTGCTATATCTATGAGATAAAGTGTTCAATATCAGAGCGATAGAGTGTGTGTAAATATAAAAGTGAACATAGAAGTCAACACTTAGAGGCGACAGGCTGTTTCATGCTAGATGCAATCGTCAGGCCACGAGTGCTGTTATTTTTCTCGGCTATTTATATATACGGATCAGTGGTGCATTGTGAGTAGTCTATTTTGGCGGTTATTTTACCGGAAGTCGTTTACTTATTTATTTATTTATTTGGTTTAAATTATTTTCTTGTTTTTATTTATTTATATTTTTTTTATTTCTTATCTTATATATTTATTTATTTATTTATTTTAATTTTTATTTTAATCGGTGTTTTTATTAACGTAGTAAAAATTTGTTTATATCTCTTATTTAATAGTTTTATTTTGGTTACGGAATTAAACCTATTTATTCAATTTTGGGGTTTATTGTTGTAGTTTATTTATTATTTTGGCGGGAAAGTTTTTAATTTGTTTATTACTTCGTGTATTAATTTGGATTGATTATCTTTATTTGTTTTTTCTAACGGTTAGTTTATCGGAAGCGATTTGTTTGTTTATCTATTAATTTGGATGACTTTAGATCAATTTATTTTACATGTTATTATTTATTTGTTATACTGTATATTTTCTCTTTTCGGTTTTCGATTTTTAAGTAACGTAGCATTTTTTTCTTTTATTGTAATATAACAGTTATAGCTATTTTTTTCGTCCGATTTTTGGTTTGATTTTTATAGTCTAACTAATATTTTGGTCATAATGGTTTGCTAATTTGTTTATTATTTACTTTATTTATTTGGTTTCATTGATTTTGTTTCTTGTTTTTTATTCTATTTCGTATATTCTAACAGGTTTGATTTGGTAATTTGTTTGGGTTAATTCATTTTGCTTATTTTATTGTCATTTTGTTTATTTTTTATTTTTTTTTTTTATTTTATTTTATTTTTCCGTTTTCGATTTTTAAGAAACATAGTAAAAATTTGTTTTCATGTCTGCATTTTGAGATGAGCTCGGATCTTTTATTTAACAATTTATTTTGGTCTGGGTAGGTAATGATAGCTATTTTTTCCTCCAAGCAAACTTTGCAAGTTTTTCATTGGTTGTTGTAGGCTGATGACCTTTTCCAACATATTTTTGGTGTGATGTGCGTTTTGTTTTTAATTTCCCAGATATACTTAGAAAGCATTGTGCTATTCGCATATTTACTGTTTTGTGTGCATAATTTCTTTGTTTCCAGGGTCCTTCAGTTACTCCTATGTATACTTTTTCTTCATTATCTGGTGATTTTATCGTGGCTTGGTATATTACGTTGTTTTGTAAACAATTACCGTTTAAGGGACATTCGTTCTTTATTCTGCAGTTGCACGTGGGTTTAATTTGTTTGTGGTTTGTTGATAATTTTCCTGTTGTGCTTTTTTATTATTTGTACCATGTTCTCGGTGCAACTGTACCTGATTTTTAAAGTGTTTTTCTTGAATATTTTGTGTAGGGTGCTTGATTCTTGTAGTTGTTTGTGAAAGTGTTTGAATAATATTTTTCCTACGTTTGTTTGGACGTTTTTGCTGTACGGTGGGTTGAATATGATATTTCTTTTCCCGTTGGCCCTTTTTTTGTATTCTGTGTTGAGTATGTGAGTGTTGCTGGGAATTCTCTATCTTTTAGGGCTGTTTTCGTAGCTTTTTTTAAGTTTCTTTGTTAAGTATGGAATCATCGGTGGAATTATCAGAAAGCCTGCGGTTAATCGATTTTGGTATCTGTTTGATGATAGAAGGCGGGTGGTTGGAAGGTGTGTATATAGAGTGGCTTATCACTGGGTTTTCTGTATGGTTTATATGTGCCTTTTTTAGGTTGAAGGTAACATCTAGAAAATCTACTTCGTTTAGGTTAGTTTTTATATCTATGTCGAATCCGTTATTTTTGAAAATCTTTATAATTGCTTTTCTAGTTTTGTCTGTGTTTTGTTTGTTACAGTTTCTTAAGATTATGAGACTGTCGTCTCTGTAGAGTCCTGTGTCATTTCTATCTATTATTTTGCTTAGTTCTTGTCGTAAGTAAATACCTATGATTTCGCATGCACCGTCAAAGCTTCCCATTGTAGTGTCAAATATCCCATCTTTCTTTATCCATGCTTCTTCACTGTGAAATAGTAATATATATATATATATATATATATATATATATATATATATATATATATCACATTGAAATACCTGGTTCTCTTACGATCACCGAAGATAAGCAACATCCAGCCTAGTCACTATCTAGTTGTGTGACCGCTTTGTAATATAATGTTCATGCTTTTTAATGTGCATGTGCTGTAATTGATAACGATTGGGAATTGGAAATTGGATTGCAAAGTTCAAGCTGCAGTCGCGTTCGATACGAAGGTAAGTCAAAAATTATCCGCGCATATGCCATGATGTATGTGTAGGCTTGTTATACTGCCTTCTGCTCATGGTTGCTTAGAGTTTCTACTATTGGTGTCACTTGATCGAAGTTTGAGCTGAATCGCTCCAGTTTCCTTGCTGCTTTTACAGTATAAACATGGCCTCTCTGCGAGTAGTGTGCACCAAGAAGACACAAAGAGCAATTATTCGAATAATTGATAACATGCTACCATATCAGCTCTCTATTACTATCTCTCGAGCTTGCTGAATCTTCCAGTTAGTTGCGTGGTTGTTACGGGCGTTTTGCTTCTTCTTCCTGCGCCAAGATTGTCTGGCCACTTTTAAAACTCCATGATACATTTATGCACACTTCGACACGGTAGTGCCTTCCAATAAATTTCATATCCTGACACACTTTATCACCAGAGAAATCGGATCACTGCTCTTTGTTTCTTCTTGATGAAAACTGTTAGTAGAGTGGCCATGTATACATTGTAAGAGCAGTAAGAAAATATAAGTACGCATGTGCAGAATGCAGTTTGGCAAATCTAAAATCATTTTATGGTGAAAGTGCTGATTGTTTTTGACTTCAGTCAGTTATGTGCCATGCGTGATACACGATTGGGCGATCATGTATCTTTTGATACATGATTGACGAGGGAGATTTTTACCGCAATAGGTTTCCATTTCTTTATGCGGTCGACCAGTTGACATCCAAGGCTATAGAACCCGGTCTATCCTGCTATTTACCCATAGCTGGCGGAGAGAAAAAGAGGATTCATACCATTCCCAAGGGTATTATCTGGTAAGTGAATGTAACGGATTCAACTGGAATTCGAACTCGGCTCTCCGATTCCTCAATCCGAGCCGCTATCCATTACGCCACCGTAGATCTATGACTCCACCAACTCTTTCTCCAGCTATGGGTTAAATATGTAGAACTTGTAAAAATCATTATTATCTCCCAAATATTCTTATAGTCTGAAAATATTTCCCGGCTTTAAATAACCTGCAAAGGG